TATATATATATATATATATATATATATATATATATATACACATTTTTTGTTGTTGTTGTTGCTCCTGGAGCTTGAACTCTGGGTGCTGTCCCTCCACCCTTCAGCTCAAGGCTAGTACTCTACCACTTGAACCACAACACACTTCTGGTTTTCTGGAAGTTTATTGGAGATAGAATCTTATGGACTTTCCTGCCTGGGTGAGCTTTGAACCATGATCCTCAGACCTTAGCCTCCTGAGAAGCTAGGATTACAGGCAGGAGCCATCAGCATCCAACTACAAAATACATGTTAGAGTTGCTTAAAGTGTACAATTTTTAGTGTCCTCCTCCCCAAATACAATATGCTCTTGAAAGTGATAGATATACTAGGTTACCTTAATTAAATCTTCCTATAGTGTGCACAGATCAAGATACATCATTATTTGTCAATTATAAGCAAATTTGGGAAAAAATATATATAAAGGGAAGTAGTAGTATGTCTTATATCAGGGATATGATTTGGACAAATAACCACTTCTATAAGCCTTCAGTTTCTACTAATTTGTGTGTGTGTGTGTGTGTGTGTGTGTATGCTGGTTCTTAGGCTTGAACTCAGGGCGTGGTCACTGTACCTGAGCTTCTTTTGCTCAAGGCTAGTGCTCTACTACTTGAGCCATATCACCACTTCTGGCCTTTTCTACCTGGGCTTGCTTTGAACCACAATCCTCAACTTCCTGAGTAGCTGGGATTACAGGTGTGAGCCACCAGTGTCTGGCTCAATTTCTACTTTTAAGTCTTCACTTTCTAATAATAAGAGTTTATTAAAGTGTTAGATTGTGAATATTTAATATTTATGGATTGTATTTGGCCAAGTGGATAAGTAGTAAGCATATGATAAATTGTTTTATCCTCTCTAGATGGTGTGAATAATGTGGATTGGTATCATGCTCCTTGGTTCCTTGCAGGCCTCTTAGAACTGGCATCCAGCATCCCTGAACTGAACCCATGGCCACTCCAAATAACGTGACCCAGTTGATCATCACTGGCCTTTTCCAGGATCCAGAAGTACAGAAAGTGTGTTTCATGTTCTTTCTTTGTGTGTACCTGGCCACAGTGGTGGGCAATGGTCTCATCCTTGTGACAGTCAGTGTCAGTAAGAGTCTGGGCTCCCCCATGTACTTCTTCCTCAGCTACCTGTCCCTGGTAGAGATCTGTTACTCCTCTACTGTCGTCCCCAAATTCATCACCGACCTACTTGTGAAGATTAAAACCATCTCCCTGAAGGGCTGTCTCACACAGATATTCTTTTTCCATTTCCTTGGAGTCACTGAAATCCTCTTGCTGACCGTGATGGCTTATGACCGCTATGTGGCCATCTGCAAGCCCCTTTACTATACAACCATCATGAGCCGGCCCGTGTGTCACCGTCTGGTGGCAGGTTCTTGGCTGGGGGGCTTTTTTCACTCTATAATTCAGATTTTTATCACCCTCCCCTTGCCCTTCTGTGGTCCCAATATAATCGACCACTACTTCTGTGACCTGCATCCGTTATTCCAGCTTGCCTGCACTGACACTTTTGTGGTAGGAATCATT